TTAAAATGCCGTTTACTGATTTAGAGACGTTAATTATATTTCAATTCAAGCTAAATTTTACCAAATTACAATACGAAATGTTAAAACTGCATTCTCGATCGCGGGGAAAATTACAAGGTGCGCATGCGTTGCCGATCCGTATCGCGCTTCATCGCGTCCGTCACCTAGCCCCGGGCTCATCTGATCGCGACCAAACACCGTATCGTATAATCGACCATCATCGACCATATTATACGACTAAAATCGACAGCAACTTCCATTAAACGTCTGAATAGCTCTAAAATGTACCTACCGATTAGTCATTACCGCCGACAATACTAAAAGACGCTAAAAATAAATCAATCTAATTTTTCTACAACATTCTTTTTTGTTCCATTAGCGTTAAGAGTCGCTACTACCCCAGCTCGATTTCTAATTTTTCCCGTACTGAATCGGTTCTTTTCCTCGGGTCGAGCGGCTGGGATTGGACTGGCTTTATTTCAGAATTTATTTTTTACAGACGAAATTAAAGCTATTTGAAACATATATATACCACATGTGTTCTATGTAGTTCAGTTGATATAAAAAATATCATTGGTATATGTAACGTACCTATTGAATACAACGGTTTTCTTGTAAAATTATGATTGTGTTTATGTTTTTATTTCTATAGTGAAAATTTTTTGGGATCGTGTTTTCACACCGTATTTTCACATCCTCAATTTTACTATGTATTTTTTTCAAAGTTTTTCAAAGTTGATTCGACACTTTGACTTTTATGCGGAATCAACTAAAGCCATTTCAGATTGTGTAGACTCTTAAACGGCTGAATAGCTCTAACCGATTAGTCATTACTGCCTACAATATTAAAACAAGCTAAAAAATAAGTCAGTCTAATTCTGCTACAACATTCTTTTTTGTTCCATTAGCATTAAGTGTTAACATTAAACGACTTAAGTTTGATTTACATAAAGTAAATTTGTATTGGACCTAAACTTTAAACAAGAGTCAGTGATGCGTTGATATTTTGTAAGTAATCCTTTAAGCGTTTCGTATTAAACAAATGTTTTTTGATGTTCTTGAGCATATCGGAGTGGCTTATGACAGTAATCCGCACTTTAAGTACGGAAAGTCATATAATTTGGGATCGAATTAAAGTTTAAGACATTTTAAATAACTTGAGGCCGACTACATTGCTCAATAAGTGTCTAAATTGTGGGTACACATAGTGTCTAAAATACACAAACCCCGATGATTGCTTTAAAAAAAAACACAAAATGTTATTCCTGATTTTTTAAATTGCATTTTTAGTCACTTGTATTTTAATATAATAACGAGAACTGGGTAATTTTCAGGTTAGTTTTCTCTATTATTCTAGAATATTATCATAAACTATTATTTAATGTTCTAGTGTAGTATCGTGAAATATAATAATAGCCACCGAAATTAGGGACGAGGAAACTAACTTGAAAATTACCCAAAATAATAGATAAAAGAGAAGACCCGTGCCCAGCAGCGGGACGTATAAGTGGGGTAATGATAATGATGATGAATGAGAAATAACAAAAACATTGTGAAAATTTTGAATAAATTAAAAACTGCCACACGCCATACTATCTATATAACATAAAATTTATATAATGAAAAAATGATTGCACGTTCTCCAATGCCGATGTTGTCGGCATTCTTTAATGCTGTTCTTTTTCGTTTCTGCTCAATCCTTTTTCATATTCCCATCTCTTTCATTTTAATATAAGTTAGACGAAACAGTCGTAAGTCGAAGTGACATTTTTAACAATGCAGTCGAAATGTTTTCGTATGGTAATGATTTATGTGTAAAACCGTCAGTGTGAGAGCTTTTTGGAGCATAGCTTTCTGTTATTTATACACGGCAAGCCTTTGGAACGGTCCTAAAGTTCAGCCGCGGGGGAAACAATGGAATATTTAATTTAAAGCATATTAAAATAAATATACGACACAAATACTGTTAACTGCAGTCGCTAATACTAAATGCATTGGAAATTCTATCCTACCCTTATACTTTTACAACCATTATAAATTATAAACTACAGTTGATACACAGAGAATAGAGCTGCAAACAGAAGTTACATTTACGAACAGTTGTCCATAAAACCATAGCCAAAGAAGTGTCGCCGGCAATAAAACAAAGCTACAGAGAAACGACATCGGAAACAAAAGTTAGTCACTGATTTTATGATGGGCAATAATTTCCTTTAACATTAAAGTTCTATTTGTAAAGCAAGGCGAATAGTTTATGAAAATATTTTTAAATTACATAAAAAGCTCTTGTTGAAATGAACAAACTTTGATAGAGAATAGATTATGACAAAGATAGAGTCATTGTTATTAAAAGTACGAAGAATAAATCATATATGATTTACACGAAGAAGGTTTTAGTAGCAATATGGCTCCTTGCGAAGGAGTTTTTTCTTTTTTTTGTAATACCAAGTGACGGGACGAACAAGTCGTGCGCCTGGTGGTAAGCGACAAGCCTATACATAACAGTTACAGTGCCATGCAGGGCTTTAAATCGCAAAGATCTTATAGGCACTAGTACTACGCCCGTCACCCTGAGACATAAGTTGACGATCCCATGTACCTGTAATTTCTCCAGCACACTTACTAAACCGAAACACAGTAATGCTCACATTACTGCTTGGCGGCAGAAATAGGTAAGGTGGCAATCCTTCCCTGAACGAACTCCTTTACAAGGAGCTCTATTGCTACTTAAAGGAGTTCGTCCGGGGAAGTACTGCCACCTTGGTTTTGAAGGGTAAGGGTACTGGCGAACTTACACGCACATGGGACTTGTCAACTTATGTCTCAGGGTGACACGCGTAGTACTAGTGCCTATAAGATCTTTGCGATTTAAAGCCCTGCATGGCACTGCAACTGCTATGGCCAGGCGTGTCGCATGCAAAGTGATGTGATGAGTGATGAACAAGGCGCACGACTTATTCGTCGTATCACAAGTCGTGTGGCTTGTTCGTCCTATCACTTTGAATCGTAAAAGAACAGATTGATCAGGAGCATACCAAGTGGTTTTCTCGTTTATCAAAATTTGAAAGTTGCATAAAAATATGCTTTTTACGCATTGACTTACAAATAAATGGACGACGGGTCTAATACAAAAACCACGAAAAAAATGTCCCAAGTCAACCTATTTAAACGTAGTGACATGTAAAGGAATATGAAAAAGCTAAAACGTTGAATTTAAAATGTAATGTCATCGCAGTACTGTCTAATTTCGCTTGCTTCGCTGTCAGTCGAACAAACGAAGACTAAAGCGTGAATGACGCTCTGTATACGATTTTAACGCCCTATAAGTTCGGACACGTTTTAGCGCGGACCCGACGTCCATATAATTGTAAGTCAATGTTTTTACGCTAATAGTTTAAACTCTAGATTGACGTAGAAAGAAATCAAAACTAAAATACTTTTAAAATTATTCGTGCGAAATTCGTTCGAGCACAAACTTATTATTTAAATATTAAGTTCAAGATCATTTGTAGACTTCAGATGACAATAGTATCGTGAAAAAGAAATCTTTATTGAAATAGAGACCAGATCACTTTCAATAGCCTACAGTCCTTGACCATTCCGGAAAGTTGGGAACAAACGAGGTTCTGTTACTTCATAATAATGACTGTTTTTTGTTTAAGTTTAGGAGTCCCGACGCGTGAGGATGAATTATTGTTATATTGGTGGTAATAAACAGTCACTTTTAGTTATATAATTTCTTCGTGATTTTATAGTTTTATGGTCGTTTCGTGCCCTTTAGCGCAAACCGGCCGGTCAATTTTATTGTGTCGTTTGAAAAACGTCGAAATCGTATAATTGACCAATAATAAGCTCGTAAGCATTTAATCACGTGTAAATGAGAGATTTCATTTATTACCCTCATATTTAAAATGTAACTTGTTCTTCATGTTGTTATATAATATGACTTCATTAATTTTTATGTAAGATCTTCGTGATACATACACAGTACACAATGATAAAAACATTTTTTTACCTTATTATTGTTAAAGGGAACGATCAAATTATGTGCTATTTACCATGACTCGTCATCAACCCCTTTACACGTGCCACTGCTGAGCACGGGTCTCTGTGACACGTTTTAGAAAAGTTATGAACTTTCTTCGACGTACAGGCTTCATCACGATGTTTTCATGAAAAACTCATGGTAAATTTCAAATTAAGTTTCGCACATAAATTCCGAGAAACTCAGAGGTACGAGCCCAGATTCCAACGTACGGCCTCTGCTTGAGAGGCGGTTAGTCAAGCCATTAGGCTTACCATGGCTATTTGAATATATTAAATACCTCATTTAAGATCTTACAAAATATAATTAAAACAAAAATGGTCATATTTAAAATGTATTTGTTTTCATAATAAAAATTAAATTAAATAGGGACTTACTTTGCAACGTAGTCGTTAAATTATATCTTCCATATACCTTAACATATTGATTTCATAATCAATGAGCAATTTTGTCAACGGTGGATTAAAACTTAATAACTGATTCGATAAATGTAGAGTAAGTACATAACTCCATTAAAGTAAAAACAATGAAGCGTAATAAATATGATAAGAATGACACGGGTCATGATTTTTTTTCTTTATAACATAGGTACAACGCTTATAATAGCTGGGCATATATAAATCGGTGTCGCATAAACCTATTATAGATTTTTCATTACACCAATTTTGTAAGTTATCGTAATTTTATTAATAAACACGTATGTGGGGGTAAAAAGATAGTCCGCATCCTCCGATCCAACCAACAGCCGCGCGAATAATTTAAATTAGTACGAAACACAATCTTTTACTAAATAAATAAAAGATATTAATATTACTATATTAGTATCTTTTACTTCATCTTTAAGTCTTTTACTTACTAAATATCGAAACGAAAGCGGTGAAAAATTAACTTTCCTTATTTTCTTTTATTAAATTGCTGAGACTGAAACTGAAAATATAAAATGTTGTAATCTTACCTTGAAAAGAGTAACCTGTAAAGTACGGTGTCATGTTCAGTGTTGATACAGCCATTGACGCAAGTAGCAAACCAGCTCGTCGCAAGCAAACAGCGCTCGTTCAACACCAGCTCAGTCCCAACACATGCAAAAGTCCAGAAGATCACAGTTTCAGTCTTTCACTATCACAGGTTGCAGCCAAACATAATCACGTAGATAAACAGAAACTGTGTGTGTCTAATCCGTGTTACTTTGAAGACAGCTCACTGCCCACTGACGTGTGATGTAAAGATGTATTTCGACTCTCAAGTGTAATCTTTCACAATCAACGGTGCAACAAAAAATGGTCAAACCAGCCGCCTTCGCAGCCTTCCTGAGCGCGGGTGGATCGTTTGTCTCTTTCCCGCATCCGAGGGTTTTCGGCGCCGGATTCGATATCGGTCTCAAACACCTTTACCAAAACTTCTGTATCTAAATAAAATTTCTGGATTTCATATCTTTCGTTAAATTTTGGGTAGATTCAGTATATTAACCGTGAGCTGCTGGACTTCGTTCATAAATTCTGGTTGACATTTCTGTCCCCCTTGGAGGTTTATGGTGGATCGATGCGGGAGCGAGACGGCAGCAAAACTGTGATCCGGTATCTTCAAAGCGAAGAGCGCTTACATTAACAATGTGTGAGTCGCGCCTGAGTCGCTGTTCCATGACGAAAAACACGAGGCGTGTTGCCACAACGATCTATTCCGACCGCAGCCTGTGATTGGTCAAAATTTGTTTAGGGCGGGGTTTGAATGCACACCAAGAAATTTAAACTTACGCCAGTGTGAGTTAATTGCATAGACCAGCTATGTTCGTGTACAATACAATTTTTGTTTCAAATGTTGTATTTTCAGTAATACATATTCATAAATTATGTGTGCTAATGATACCTACAAGTTTTTATCTGAAAGTCTAATGAGCTAATGACATTGTTTTGTTTAGTAAAATTATTTTGACATGATTTTAAAAGGCACGTTCAATAATTATTATTTAAGTGTAACATTTTACATCCTGCCATTAGAGTGTAGTTACTTTACACTCGTAGTGCAAAATTCGATAAGAAATGTATAAAAAAATTTAATATCTTTTGTAGTCTCTACTAAACTGATTAAGAAATAGTGTAATTAAAAAAAATGTAATATAACAAAAATACTTTTAAACTAAGTCTAGTGTTTTATGAGTTTCTACTTCTTATTTTGCAATAACAATACAGTCGCAGTAAAAAGTGAGAGTAATTAAAATTGCTCATTTAATTGATTGTTCTTTTGTTTCTTATGAACTGAGCATTGCAATAGTAGAGTCAAGGCCGTAGATTTCATAAGTTGTTCAAGAAAAAGTATTTTATTGGCGAACCCCTAACCCTTAATGGAGCATTAGCTTAGCACGAACTTGCTTGAGAATTGCAAGAATCTTTTGTGTTATGTTTTTAAAATACAAGTTATGTTTTAAAGTAACAAGTTGAATTTAGTTTATTTAGCGTATTTTTAGTTTATGTCATATTTTTCACTCAATAATAATAAATTCTAATTGATAGACACTCAATTCTTAGAACGACGATCGTGACTAAGGATTATTGAAGATTATTTTCTAATTGCAATGTCAGATAATAATAATTATGTATTGATTTAAACGAGTACATCCCCGTTCTTTCCTACATAGTTTTGATTATAGTGACCCTTCCTAGCGATGCTTAGCCTGCACAGGGACCTTCTCAGTCAGGTCCTGACCTCAGATCATCCCGTTTGCACAGACTTCATACGGTTCTCAAAAGGTTAGTGCCTTGGGTTAGCTGCCCCGGGTGCACGTACAGCGCCCTCCCTATTGGTTAGATAGGTACCGGAGCTGTTGGCACGCTCATCTCCCGTTGCGCATTGCGTAACTAACGGTTGCCACCGCTAAGCCATTAACTCTAAAGTACACTACCAAATCTCGTATTTGGTGGCGGTGCTGGGCGCAGCTCCAAAACCTCGTCTTTTTAAGGTCATGTAAGTATTTTAAAAAGATGAGGTTTTGTACTGAAAAGTTATATAGCTTGTGTGAACTTCAGTCGGTAAGGAAATTGTATATTTTTATTTATTTATTTTTTTTATTTTATTTTTTTATTTATGGCACAATGTACAGACATCAGATACAGAAAGTGAGGAAAATAAAAACACTTAAAAATTAATACAACAGGCATAACTGTGCCCAATTATTACTGTGCTCAACATTCATTTTAAAACATTTAGATATATTTAAACAGACACTAAATCAATCATAAAAAAAAAATCGAGCGAAATAAAAAGTAGAGAGAATGAGAATATGCTATTCACTTTACACTAATGCTAGCAGTGACCTCTTAAATGCTGGGACACTGCAGTTAAAGATATCACAATTAGTACATATTTCATTATAATACCCACACATCCTATATAGAGGATTATTTTGTGATACATTGTTTTTTGAAATGGGTATACTGAATAGTCGTTGATTACGCACAGACCGAGTCGGCACCCTGAACAGTAGCATCCTTAGCAAGCCATCGTCAGAAAAACCATTGGCAATTTTGTGCAGTGCACGTAAATCATTCATCCACCTACGTTTTTCTAATGAAACCATATGAAAGTAGTTCAAACGATCACTGTATTCGCGCATTGCCTTACGTATACCACACTTCGCAGTCAAAGCTCGCAGGAATCTGCGCTGTATAGCCTCTAACCTGTCTATATGGATTTTGTATACCGGAGACCATACTGATGAGCAATATTCAAGGATACTTCTAACGAGGGCCCCATACAAGATGATCCACGAATTTATGTTTTTAAATGGTTTGGCGTGTCGGAGTAGAAAGAACAGCATTTTGTTTGCTTTCCCGCAGACATGATCGTAGTGTGGGCGAAATGACAGGGAAGAGTCAAAAAATACCCCTAAGTCACGAATACATTCGACACGGCTAAGAGCAGATCCATGTATGTTATAGTTAAAGCGCAAAGGGTGCCTATTTTTCGTGAAGGATATCACCTGACACTTGCCCACATTGAGTGACATATGGTTGACAATACACCAACTGACAATGATTTCCAAATTTTTTTGTAGAGCCAAGCAATCCTCCTAGATATTACTAGCACAATTTAAAATGAAACATATAAGTTTAGCATATGACCCTAATATCGCAATGAAAAGAATGCAGGATCTTTTAATACAAATTCCTAGTACCAACACTGTATTTTCAGATAGACAATATGAAAAACGTGCAGCAAATCTTTACAACATTCTGAATAAGAAACCGAAAATTCACAGCAAGATATATTATGAACGTAAGAAGAAACATATGAAGAAGTTGAGGTACTGCTAGATCGCCACTCTAAAACAAACACACACACAATAATAGATAAAAATATATTGTAAGTAGTAATAATTTATTATATTTTTTGTTTGGTTAAGTTACCTAATTAAGTTTCTTTTGAAATATGTACCTAAGGAAGAGCGGCCCCTCCTGACACAGGCTACACTTAAAAGGAGGCTCCAGCCACTAATATTTAAGAAACCATATTTGAAGATAAATAAAGATTATTATATATTATTACTCCGATTCCCAATAACTTAAGCGGCTACTAGTTGCCCCGGGCTAGTGCCGGAGAAGCCGGTCGCAGTGCCCGGACATAGCTTCCGACTTAAAGGGGAACTCACGTGACCCGCGTGTCTCCTCGCCTTAGGCTCTCGTCTATACCGCTACTAAGACGCGTTAGCTGCGCAAGGGTAGAACACCCCGGTCTCATGCTACCGGAGCAGACGAACGTATTCATCCCTACAGCTAACCCCAACCTTAAAAGAGTACAATCGTACCTACATCAAGGTCTTTTGTTCCATTATCGCCTCCAGTCCAACGGAACAAGATTCGTCAATTTGTAGTTTGATGTGCTGCCGTCTGTATAATTCTTATTCTTATTCAAATACAGATTTTATCATGTTATAATTTTGATCGCACATTTAAACAGATTAACCTCCTAACTGGTTAACTAAGTTAACATTCATATTATAGGAGTTGGTGAAATACCGCATACCTACCTATACGCACGAACTAGCTAAATCTCCAAGCAACTATTAATATATACATATTTAGATAAACAGTTCTAGTGACTACTACTACGACTAGTAACTACTGAAATACCTGTTTAAAACATAAACGTAATATTTTTTTTACATACCAAGTGACGGGACGTGCTGAGTGACACGCCTGTCCATAGTAGTTCCAATACTATTTAGATCTTTAAATCTCAAAGGTCAGACACTACCATTGCGCCCGTCACCAGAGTCATAAGTTGACAAGTCTCATGTGCCTGTAATTTTACCAGCACTCTTATCCTTCAAAACCGGAACGCAGTAACGATCACATTATGTATACAAATATCTTCAAATATGTAAGAAACTGGAAGTGCGACGTCTAATTGCAGACCTCGTATTTTTACGTAAAATTGCTTCTGGTGTCGTGGATTGCCCGGAACTCGTGTTCAAGATTTCTCTTAGAGCCCGTACAAAGACCCTTAGGTTTAACTCACTTCTCTGTGTACCTCCGGCCTCTTTGAACTTTCGGCGGAATGCATACCACTTACGTGCGAGTAAAACAGCTTCAATGCATCGTCCAAGCAGGTTGATATTGACCTGTTTAAATTTAGTGTTGCATTGGTAAAGCGTCTTATTAGTCATTTGTTTTTTAGCGAGTAGATATTTATTTTGTTAGTGTTGCAAATTTCTCACAGTATGTTAAATATTGGCAAAGAATTTTATACTGTCCACTTCCAAGCAACAAAGGATGTTATACTCAGACGTACACACATGCCTTTCACGAATAGAGTTATGCAAGCGGGCGTGAACGAGAAAACTTTCATTTCGTGGTGTAGCCAAATCTCGGCTATTCTTAGAAAAGTAAAAGGGGTAAAACAAAGTCCACTCTCACCGAGTTCACAACCCTCATGGATCGAGTACTCCGTACGCTCGAGGAAGACGAACTGTCAATATTCCTAGGCGCAGATAATTCTATTAAACAAACCATTCTAGATATTGATCAAAAATCGGAACATAATC